CAACACCAGTAAACACAAAGTACCATCAGACCAACACCAGTAAACACAAAGTACCATCAGAGTAACACCAGTAAACACAAAGTACCATCAGAGTAACACCAGTAAACACAAAGTACCACCGACCAACACCAGTAAACACAAAGTACCATCAGACCAACACCAGTAAACACAAAGTACCATCAGAGTAACACCAGTAAACACAAAGTAACACCAGTAAACACAAAGTACCACAGAGTAACACTAGTAAACACAATGTACTACAGCGATCAGACCAGTGAGCAATATTGTTGTCTGAGATGTTTCTTCAGATTCATTCATGAGCTCCACGATTTAAACAACCTCGTCTTTTACAAACGTTTTTCATTGTTAGAGTTAAAGTCAGTAAATTCATCTTCCTCTTCTCCTTCTCCTTCTTCTTCTTTGTCTTCTTCTGCTCCTCCTCCTTCTTGTTTGTCTTCTTCTTCTCCTCCTCCTCCTTCTTCTGCTCCAGTCTAGTAAACTGGGCTCCACCAAGATTGTCAAGAGATCTTCCATCAAGCTGTCAAACAGCCAGACAGACCCCGCCCCTGGCACAAGCCCCGCCCCCCTCAGACAGGTGACAGGTACAGGTGGGTTCGTGTCATTACAACACACATGCATTGATAATGACATTTATTGAGATAAATTATGATGCAGTTTTCCAACATCTATTTTATCTAATGAGATAAAGTGTTCACTCTGTTTGTCTCATAATCATTTTTAAATGAAAGTAGTTTTATCAGCCTAGCAGACCAACACACCATCTTTGTTTTGACTAACTTCCTGCCAGTCCTGTTAACTTTATCCACAACTGCACCAGAAAAAGACTGAAAAAAGACATTGTTACCAAAAGGTTTCATTTGTATTTCCAATATGAATAGTTTATTTAATGAAAGAGTGATACTGGGAGTCCAACAACCTCCAGTTCTGCCGAGTAAAGCCAATGTACACACAAAATGTCGCGATACTTTGCTGTATCTATGGTTTTTTCCCACCCCTACAATTATCCGTTAGCTGCGTTGTGTGTCCAGCAGGGGGCGCTGGTCCAGATCCGATGTCCCGGGAGGCTGAAGGCCAGCAGGGGGCGGAGCCCCTTCCTGTGGTGGAGAAGTTCAGCAACGTCGGACGAAACAGTCTGGACGTCTTCTCTCCTGCTCGGGAAGGTCAGAACCTGGACCTTTAACAAACCCCTTGATCCAGATCACCAGCTGTGTACATGTAGAAACTGTAAAAGACATCAAACCTTTAGCTCTTCTTTCTGTTCAGACTCTCGGTCCCAGGGGACGACCGGAGACACTCCGTTTGGGAGGACACACGGTACGGCAGGAAGTCGGTCTGGATAATGATGCTGGTTCTGGTTCTGCTGCTGGTTCTGGTTCTGAACTAACCTTGATGCTGTGTTTCCATAGCTACCAGTTTGGAGATGCTGCCCAGAGAAGGGGAGGGTCAGCAGGTCATCGGTCGGGCCAGTCTGGACATCTTCTCCCCAGTCAGAGAAGGTCAGACTCTACTGGTTTCTACTGGTCTGTCTGTCCCTGGTTTCTAACTGGTCTGTCTGTCCCTGGTTTCTGTAGTTACAGTAGTTGCTGACGAGCATAACACACCACAAGGAAGAATTGCATTGTGGGTAATGTAGGCAGCAGGTTTCGATGAAGAAGAAGATTGTGTGGAATAAAAAAGACAAATCTCTGGTTCTGCTGCATCCATGTTGATTCTTTAAGGATTCTTACAGTCTTGAAAAGAAACAATTAAATGTTAGTTTCAGTTTCATTCAGACTTCACATGAATTATTATCCAGATGTGACCTCCCACCGTAAGACCCCCCTAGGAACGCCACTGATAGGCGCTGCAGCCCGCTGCTACAGCCCGCTGTCTGTCTACCAGACCCCGCCCCCAATCAGAGAGGAGGAGCCAATCACTGCTGCTGCAGCCGAACCATGTGACTCCAGAAAGGTGCTGACCTCTGACGTCAATCTAGTGTATTATTATAGAGTGGAGTGTGTCTCAAACAACAACACGCTCTTTATTGACAGTCTGACAAGACCAGCAACTCCAGCCTGGAGGGGGAGGGTCCGGCCACGCCCACAGCACCTCAGCTGACCAATCACATCCAGCCGGCCCCGCCCTTCTTCACTCCAGAGCCTGGCCTCAGGAGAGCCAATGGGATTCAAACTCAGCTGAGCTACGAGTCTCCTGTCCAGGGAGCTTCAGCCAGCACCACTGCAGGTACTGGTTTCTAACTGGTCTTACTAACCCTGGTTCCTGGTCTCTAAAGGGTCTTACTAACCCTGGTTCCTGGTCTTTAACTGGTCTTACTAACCCTGGTTCCTGGTCTCTAAAGGGTCTTACTGACCCTGGTTCCTGGTCTCTAA